TACGTTATCATTTTTCCCATGAAATCCAAGACCATCATCACCATGTGGGGTGCGTTTTGTGAATTTGACATATTTTAACCTGAGAACGAAAATTCTTGACAAGAACAAGTGTAAAAATAACGTGTGTTATCAGAATTAGCACTGAAACAATCACTATTTTCCCTGTTAGGAACTTTTGATCAATCTTTGAGAATATTTTAAGTCCCCAAGCCAAGGGCGTTGGGCAACCTCCCGCATGCAGTATCTTAGTAAAAAAAAGAAAGAGAGAAAAAGAAATGAGAGAGTCTTATCGGTGAAAAGCCGTACGGGCACTATAAGGCGACAGTGAGCAGAGAAATGAGAGAGTCTTATTGGTGAAAACCCAGATGGGCACCATAAGGTGACGGTTCGTAGAGAAATGAGAGAGGTTAGTTAGCGAAAACCTGCAAAGAGCGCTACTAGCCGAATGAGGGTCTTCGATACTCCCGCATGAGCACAACCAATACAATTTCAAGATGAACATTTGCGACGGATTTTGAGAATTAGACAGCTTAGACGGATCAGGCGTCCAGTCCAAAATGCATGTCATGATTCATTGAAGTCGGCACTTACCTCCAGATAAGTCTCCCTATTCTTTTCCACAAAAGGGACACCTTGTGTTTAAGCACAGTTCTTTTTCACTTTCAATTATTATTCTATTTTTTTTCCCGTAATTTTTCTTTGAGTCCCTTTCGGTGTAATCCTGCATCAAAAGCAAAGCAAAGAAATGACTGCAAAACTGGCTACAGTTTCCCCGTAATATCGAGCACAATTTGGGGCATATATGGCATTGACGAAGGCACGAATCCATCTGTGATCTCATTTGATAAGGCGAACAAAGTGTCTCAAAGAAACTGAATAGGTCGCCTAAGCAAGACCTGCTTCATGAGAAAAGTTGATAAGCAATACGGACACAAACTGATAATGGGTGCAAGACAACTGAGTTTGATTTTAAAGAAAAATTTCCTTGCCTTAGAGACAAGGGTAGTGGTACCATGGACATCTGGGTATGAAACAGTTTGAGGCAACATTGGAAAGCCAAGGTCTCCAGAAAATGATACAGAGCAGCCGAGCATCTCGGTACCATGCTGACAGAATTGGTTCTTCGACAGCAGTGGTCGTGAATCAAACTACTCAGGGCATTTAAGAATACAAACCAACCACCACTTTGAAAACTCAAAAAAATTTCTTTAATTGAAGCGGGAACAAAGCAGTGCAGAATCGCGATTCTAAAAGAACGAATGTCACCAAACGTAAGCTCCTTAAAATCTCTATTTTTTTAATTTTCAGCATGCATCACTACTGTTCATACCTCCCGTATTTGTAGCTTAACTCAGGTAGAACTGTTTCACCTAGGGGGATCCAGCTCATAGTTCCGGGTAGAAGTACTCTACGCTCGGGTTGTTTTAAGTAGCTTAACTCAGGTAGAATCTTTTCGCCTAGGGGGATCCAGCTCATAGTTCCCGGTAGAAGTACTCTTCGCTCAGGTTGTTTTACGTAGCTTAACTCAGGTAGAATCCATTCGCCTAGGGGGATCCAGCTCATATTTTCGGGTAGAATTACTCTTCGCTCAGGTTGTTTTACACAACTTAACTCAGGTAGAATCCTTTCGCCTACGAGGATCCGGCTCATAGTTCCAGGTAGAAGTACTCTTCGCTCAGGTTGTTTTACGCAGCTTAACTCAGGTAGAATCCTTTCGCCTAGGGGGATCCAGCTCATATTTCTGGGTAGAAGTATTCTTCGTTCAGGTTGTTTTACATAGCTTAACTCAGGTAGAATCCTTTCGCCTAGGGGGATCTAGCTCATAGTTCCGGGTAGAAGTACTCTTCGCTCAGGGTGTTTTACGTAGCTTAACTCAGGTAGAACCATTTCACCTAGGGGGATCCAGCTCACAGTTCCGGGTAGAAGTTCTCTTCGCTCAGGTTGTTTTACGTAGCTTAACTCAGGTAGAACCATTTCGCCTAGGGGGATCCAGCTCACAATTCCGGGTGGAAGTACTCTTTGATTAGGGTGTATTACGTAGCTTAACTCAGGTAGAACCAATTCGCCTAGGGGGATCCAGCTCATAGTTCCGGGTAAAAGTACTCTTCGCTTAGGGTGTTTTACACAGCTTATCTCAGGTAGAACCTTTTCGCCTAGAGGGATTCAGCACTTTATCAGTAATACAAGGCTCCAACCCCTGGTTACATTTCTCTTCAGTAATACAGGGTGCCAACCCCTGGAGAGGAGGTTGAGAGGAAAAAGTGGTGAAATTTTGGAGTGGTTTGGAGGTGGTCCGCCGGCGTTTACTGAAGAGAAATGTAACCAGGGGTTGGCTCCCTGTATTACTGAAGAGAAATGTAACCAGGGGTTGGAGCCTTGTATTACTGATAAAGTGCTAAATCCCTCTAGGCAAAAAGGTTCTACCTGAGTTAAGCTACATAAAACACCCTGAGCGAAGAGTACTTCTACCCAGAACTGTGAGCTGGATCCCCCTAGGCGAAACGGTTCTACTTAAGTTAAGCTACATAAAACACCCTAAGCGAAGAGTACTTCTACCCGGAACTATGAGCTGGATCCCCCTAGGCGAAAGGACCCTACCTGAGTTAAGTTATGTAAAACAACCTGAACGAAGAGTAATTCTACCCAGAAATTTGAGCTGGATTCCCCTAGGCGAAAGGATTCTACCTGAGTTAAGCTGCATAAAATAACCTGAGCGAAGTGTACTTCTACCCGGAACTATGAGCTGGATCCCCCTAGGCGAAAAGATTCTACCTGAGTTAAGCTACTTAATACAACCTAAGCCAAGAGTACTTCTACCCGGAACTATGAGTTGGATCCCCCTAGAAGAAAAGATTCTACCTGAGTTAAGCTACTTAAAACAACCTGAGCGAAGAGTACTTCTAACCGGAAATATGAGCTGGATCCCCCTAGGCGAAAAGATTCTACCTGAGTTAAGCTACGTAAAACAACCTGAGTGAAGAGTACGTCTACCCGGAACTATGTGCTGGATCCCCCTAGGCGAAATGATTCTACCTGATTTAAGCTACGTAAAACACCCTGAGCGAAGAGCACTTCTACACAGAACTATGAGCCGGATCCCCCTAGGTGAAACGGTTATACCTGAGCTAAGCTACAAAGACGGGAGGTCTGAACAGTAGTGATGCATGCTGAAAATTAAAAAAAATGGAGATTTTAAGGAGCTTACGTTTGGTGACATTCGTTCTTTTAGAATCGCCATTCTGCACTGCTTTGTTCCTGCTTCAAACAAAGAAACATTTGTGAGTTTTCAAAGTGGTGGTTGGTTTGTATTCTTGAATGACCTGAGTAGTTTGATTCACGGCCACTGCTATCGAAGAACCGATTCTGTCAGCATGGTACCGAGATGCTCGGCTTCTCTGTATCATTTTCTTGAGACCTTGGCTTTCCAATGTTTCCCCCAACTATTTCATACCCAGATCCATGGTACCGCTACCCTTGTCTCTATGGCAAGGAAATTTTTCTTTAAAATCAAACTCAGTTGTCTTGCACCCAGTATCAGTTTGTGTCCGTATTGCTTATCAACTTTTCTCATGAAGCAGGTCTTGCTTAGGCGACCTTTTTAGTTTCTTTGAGACACTTTGTTCACCTTATCAAATGAGATCACAAATGGATTCGTTCCTTTGTCAATGCCATATATGCCCCAAATTGTGCTCGATATTACGGGGAAACTGTAGCCAGTTTTGCAGTCATTTCTTTGCTTTGCTTTTGATGCAGGATTAGACCGAAAGGGACTCAAAGAAAAATTACGGGGAAAAAAACAGAATAATAATTGAAAGTGAAAAAGAACTGTGCTTAAACAAAAGGTGTCCCTTTCGTAGAAAAGAATAGGGAGACTTATCTGGAGGTATGCGCCGACTTCAATGAATCATGACATGCATTTTGGACTGGACGCCTGATCCGTCTGAGCTGTCTAATTCTCAAAATCCATCGCAAATGTTCATCTTGAAATTGTCTTGGTTGTGCTCATGCGGGAGTATCGAAGACCCTCATTCGGCTAGTAGCGCCCTTTGCAGGTTTTGGCTAACTAACCTCTCTCATTTCTTTACTAACCATCGCCTTATGGTGCCCATCTGGGTTTTCACCAATAAGACTCTCTCATTTCTCTGCTCACTGTCGCCTTACAGTGCCCGTACGACTTTTCACCGATAAGACTCTCTTATTTCTTTTTCTCTCTCTTTTTTTTTTTGACTAAGATACTGCATGCGGGAGGTTGCCCAACGCCCTTGGCATGGGGACTTTAAATATTCTCAAAGATCGATCAAAAGTTCCTAACAGGGAAAAGACGAAAAGAACCTTGAACTGAATTACAACTTTTGGAACCGTTTATATAGGAAAAAACGTAAAATAAAACAAACTTCTGCCCCATTTTTTGAGTACTAGGAATATGGATTTTTCGTTGTGATGGGACCAAACCCAGGGTAAGGCTGCCTACATATCCTTTCGAAATTAGGTCGGACGTAGTTCAATGATTTCGAAGCTTTGTTGTTTGGACTATTTTTTTTCTTTGTTCTTCTTCTTTTTTTTAACAAGTACACAGGTTGCAGAAGGTGCAAAACAAAGAAGACAAATACGACTCAAAAGGGATAACAAAAGGGTGACACCTGTTTGGAATAGCGAGCAAATGATAGCCTTCGTCATCTCGATCTGAGAAAATCAATGCGTGAAAATTCTAGAGTGGGTATATATCAGACATAATATCTTTTGACTGCATCTGCATTAATAGTCATGTCTGGTACCTGTCCTTCTTCATCTACCAAGTGCAAGGCCCCTTTTGGTAACACTTTCTTGATGATGTAGGGTTCTTGCCAGTTCGGGGCGAACTTTCCTTTATCTTCTACCTGGTGCGAAAGGATGCATTTCAAAACGAGCTCACCTACCTCAAACTGCCTTGGGTGCACTTTCTTATTGTAAGCGCGTGCCATTCTTTGCTGGTATAACTGGTCGAAACACACTGCTGCTAGCTATTTTTCATCGATCAACATCAGTTGTTCTAATCGGGTCTTGACCCGCTCAGTGTCTTTAATCTCTGATTCCACAATAATTCGGAGAGAGGGAATTTCGACTTCAGCGGGTATTACAGCTTCAATTCCATATACAAGCAGATACGGAGTTGCACCAACAGATGTGCGAACAGTCGTGCGGTATCCCAAAAGAGCAAAAGGCAACTTTTCATGCCATTTCCAGGAACCTTGGATCATCTTCCTAAGAATCTTCTTGATGTTCTTTTTCGCCGCTTCAACGGCTCCATTGGCTTTTGGCTGGTAAGGGGTAGAATGGTGATGCATGATTTTAAATTGTTTGCATACCTCCTTCATCAAATGACTATTTAGATTGGCTACATTGTCAGTGATAATGGTCTTTGGGATACCAAAGCGACAGATGATGCTGGAATGAACAAAGTCTACCATTGCTTTCTTGGTGACTGCTTTGAAAGTGACGGCCTCTACCCACTTGGTGAAGTAATCAATTGCAACCAAAATGAATCTATGCCCATTTGAAGCCTTCGGCTCGATTGGCCCAATAACATCCATTCCCCAAGCAACGAAAGGCGAAGGAGAGGACATGGGATGCAACTCCGAAGGAGGCGAGTGAATCGAGTCACCATGAATCTTGAAATGGTGACACTTGCGAACAAATCTGAAGCAATCTCGCTCCATAGTAAGCCAATAATACCCTGACCGCAGAATCTTCTTCGCCAAAACATATCTATTTATGTGAGGTCTGCATACCCCTGAATGCACTTCACTCATGATCTGCACCGCTTCTGTAGCATCTATGCATCTCAACAAGTTTAAATCTGGGGTCCTCTTGTACAGAATTTCCCCATTCATTTCATGATACCATGGTTCACCATCTTGTTCTGTCTTAATTGTATTGCAGTAACCGTGTTGATTCCGAACTTAGATTTCTAGTGGATCAATATGAGTGCTGCCTGGATAAGGGAGCATCGAGGCTAAAGTAGCCAAGGCATGGGCTAGCTCCTTGTGAAACCTGGGAATGTACCTGAACTCGACGGATTTGAATCTTTTGCTCAAGTCTTGCACAAATTGTCTATACGGAATAATCTTGATGTCTCGAGTCTCCCATTCGCCTTGGGCTTGCCGGATAAGCAAGTCGGAATCTCCCATAACTAATAGTTCATGCACATCCAGATCGATGGCCATTTTCAGACCCATGATACAAGCTTTGTATTCTGTCGTATTATTGGTACAGAAGAACCGAAGTCGGGCCGTTGCAGGGTAATGATGTCCAATAGGTGAGATGAGGATTGCCCCGATCCCAATTCCATTGATATTAACAGCCCCATCAAAATACATTTTCCATACATGGTGATCGTCTGGAACAACTTCCTCTATTGAGTTGACCTCTTCGTCTGGGAAGTATGTGCTAAGTGGCCTGTATTCATCATCAACTGGATTCTCTGCCAAATGATCTGCCAAAGACTGTGCTTTCATCGCGGTGCGAGTGACATAGACGATGTCGAACTCTGTGAGCAGGATTTGCCATTTTGCGAGCCTGTCAGAGGGCATTGGCTTTTGGAAGATGTACTTCAAAGGATCTATTCTGGACATGAGGTAAGTAGTGTAGGCCAAAAGATAATGTCTCAGCTTCTGAGCGACTCAAGTCAAGGCACAACATATCCTTTCTAAAAGGGTGTACTTAACCTCATAATTGGTGAACTTCTTGATAAAATAATAGATTGCCTGTTCCTTTTTGCATGTCGCATCATGTTGCCCCAGAACGCATCTAAAGGAATTATCCATCACCGATAGATATAAAAACAAAGGCCTACCAGGTTCAGGTGGGACCAGTACAGGGGGTTTCGACAGATAATCTTTGATCCTGTCAAAAGCTTTTTGGCAATCGTCCGTCCACTTGATAGCAGCATCCTTTTTCAGCAACTTAAAGATGGGCTAGCACGTGGTTGTGAGCTGAGCAATGAACCTACTGATGTAGTTCAACCTCCCAAGAAAACTCATGACTTCCTTTTTGTTCTTCTCGAATGGACTTTATCTTAGATGGATCCAATTCGATGCCTCTCCGACTGACTATAAAACCGAGGAGTTTCCCAGATGGAACCCCAAATGCACACTTGGTTGGATTAAGCTTAAGGCCATACCTTCGAAGCCGTTCGAAGAACTTTTCCAAATCGCACATGTGATCAGCTTGTGTCTTTGATTTTATGATGACATTATCGACATATACTTCAATCTCTTTGTGCATCATGTCGTGAAAAATGGTGGTCATGGCCTTCATGTAAGTTTCCCCTGCATTCTTTAAACCGAATGGCATGACCCTATAACAATAAGTACCCTATGGAGTGTTGAAAGCGGTCTTTTCTGCATCATCCTCATCCATTAGAATTTGGTGGTACCCAGCGTAGCAATCCACGAACGATTGTATCTCATGCTTTGCGCAAGTATCTACACGAATGTGGATATTTGGCAAAGGAAAATTAACCTTTGGACTTGCTTTGTTCAGGTCCCTATAGTCAACACAAACTCTGGTTTTTCCATCCTTCTTTGGCACAGGCACATCATTTGCCACCCAGGTGGTGTATCGGACTGCTCTGACCACATTGGCGCTCAGTTGCTTCATTATTTCCTCTTTGATTTTGTCACTCAAGTCTGTTTTAAATTTTCGTTGCTTTTGTTGGACTGGTGGAAAACCAGGATACGTAGGAAGCTTATGAACCACTAGATCAGCACTTAAACCCGGCATATCATCATAAGACCAAGAAAACACATTTTTGTATTGAAATAAAAGTTGAATCAAGGCATCTCTGGTTTTTTGTTCAGTGTGAATGCTTATCTTAGTTTCTCTAACTTCTTCAAGACTTCCAATATTAATCGGCTCAGTTTCATTGAGGTTGGGCTTAGGCTTGTTTTCAAATTGTTCCAACTCTCTTTTTATTTCCTCAACAACCTCATCTTCATCATATTCAACCTCTTGATGCATTATTTCGATATTAGACAGCATTTTAAGATCTGGGCGTGAATTCCACATGCATGTCATGTTATTAAAGCTGGCATTAACAAAACTGAAATGGAAAATGATAGGAATTAGGAAAAGGAAAAGATACAAAACTTAATTGGAAACTGAGTTGCATTTTATTGAATTCAAAAGGAAAGAAGGGTTAACATCAAAACAAAACAATCATACTGAGATATTTGGATTACAACCCTGAAAGTAACCCAAAAACAAAAGAAGCTACAAAAGCAAACTACCAAGACTCCTTCCTTGTGGGGAGAGGAGTTGCTTCCCAGTTGTTGAACATGGTTTCTGGGCCAATTTGTTGCATATCGGCACGACTAGTGCCTTCACCAGCCTGGATCATATTCACTTCAGAAAGCATCTGGCTGAGGCCATGGCAAATTTCATCAAGCTTTTCCTGTACCGAGTAATTTTGATCCTCTTGGAGTCGTGGCTTGACAAAAGTGTAGAAAATGTGAGGGATAGGCTGTTGCAAGGCCCATCCATGCTTTTTGTGGTGCTTGGCTTTGTCTTCGTCTGCTTGTGTTGGCCTGAAGCCTAAGCCAAAAGTACCCTCGTTAGTGAACGGAGAAATAGGCTCCGAAATTCCTTGCAATGATGCCCCAAGCCTTTTCCTGGATTATAACCTTGTCTCAACATAAGTGCAGCCACCATTACAGATATGGCGGAAAGATGAGGATGCAAAATGGGCTTTCCTTCCTCAACATGGTCCACAACAACCACTTCAAAAGCCTGATAGACAATGGACTCATACCCTTCCTTGGCCTCAATACAGGGGATTAATGGGTGTTTATATATGGAAGACTCGTCTTCCCCGTGAACAATAATTTCTTGCCTGTCATTTTCGAATTTGAGCATCTGATGCGAGGTGGATGGCACAGCTTGGGCCGTATGGATCCATGGCCTTCCAAGAAGAAAGTTATAAGAAGTGACCATGTCCACTACTTGGAAGACAATCTCAAAGTCAACCAGCCCAATCATCATGGTGAGGTTGATCTCCCCGATGGTATCTCTCAAAAGCCCGGATGCAAACATTGCTGGGTCGGATTCTGTCTGTATTGATCTTCATGCTTTGCAAGGTAGAGAGAGGGCATACATCTACACTTGAGCCTCCATCAACCATGACTCGCTTTAGATAATGCCCCTCACATTTGACCATCAAGTGCAAAGCCCTATTGTGCCCAGCTTCCTCCTCGGGAAGTTCATCATCAGTAAAGGAGATTTTTTTCACCTCGAAAAATCTGTTTGCCATCTTCTCTAACTGATTCACTGTGGTCTCATCTGAGACATGTGCCTCGTTCAGGATCTTGATTAGTACAGGGGCATGCTCTTTGGAATGTATGAGCAGAGATAGTAGAGAGATTTGGGCACGAGTCTTTCTCAGCTGGTCGATGATTGAGTAATCCTGAACTTTCATCTTTGTCAAAAACTCTTCCGCCTATGCTTCAGTGACTGGTTTCTTTATTGGCAATTGGCCGTCTCTGATTTGCTTGGCCTTCCTCAACTCTTCTGGTGAGTAACATCTCCCCCATCGAGTCAAACCTCTAGTTTCCCCCACTTCCTCTATGATTTTCTTGCCTTTGTAGGTCATCACAGTTTTGTTGTAATTCCAAGGAGTGGTTTTCGTGTTTGTCATAGGGGGTTGCACGGCAGGTTTGATTATGATCGGCTCTGTTATACCTTTCGTACCTCCCTAATTCTGCCTTGTGACGGGGTGGCCTCCAAGTACATACAACCTTGGACTTGGATCATTGGAGCGAACTTCCAACCTCGAGACCTTGAGAACAAATAAAGTTACCTTTTTTGAGCTCGGGGCGCCTTTCACAATCAACGACACATCTCGGCTTGGACTTACTTCTAGACCTGTTCCTTCCTGAATTGCACCCACTGTCATTTCTGCTCGACCGAGCGGCTTGTATTCTTGATCTCGACCAATCATTCCCACAAAATGAACATCATTGTGTGCTGGTAACGGGTTGTTTGTCACATTAGGAGGGTCCTCGCCATTCGTCACTACAAACAGTTTTTCAGAAATAAGTCTCTCTATGGCTCATTTCAGAGTCCAACAGTCATCAGTGCTATGCCCTAGGGCACCTGAACGATATTCACATCTAGCATTTGCTTGAAATCCATGTGAATCAGGATGCATATGTGTAAGGCCCCGTGAAAACTTGTGCTTAAAACTTAGAACTCGTAGTGCCAAGTTATGAATATGCGTTTCGGACCCTTTGTACTGATCTAAGCATTTAAAAATCAAGAATCAAAGTTTTCCAGAAAAGTGCTATTATGCGGTCCAGAATGCAGTCGCAAATCAAGTATGCGGACCGCATTTCTACCGCAAAGTGAGTCAGTGTGTTAGTCAAATTTGAGGTCAAAAATGCGGTCCATTATGCGATCGCATAACTGATATGCG